CATGTCACCCTGCTGTTCAGATCGCTTCACTGGCTTCCAGTTGCTGCTCGCATCAAATTCAAACCACTTGCTTACAAAACCACAATGAGAACAGCTCCCTCCTACCTGAACTCTCTCATTCGGGTCTACACTCCCTCCCACAACCACCGAAACAGGGCCGGAGGTCGATAGCTAGACTCTTCGTCTCTGTGGTTCCGCGGTGGTGGAACAAGTCACCAAACTCTGTTCAGTCTGCTGACTCCCTCTCAGTCTTTAAGAAAAGACTGAAGACTAAAGCTCTTCACTGGACAGACTGAAAACAAACAAACAAAAAAAGACAATCCTAGTACCTTCCACACAGCCTGCTATTGGCATCTATCACACTTAAACTTGTTCTGTGGTGCTTATCCAGATTGTTTTCTCCTGACTAGATCTTTGCTTGTGTTGTATCTGCTCTCAGATGCTGCTTTGGATGAACGCGTCTGCACGCTGCACAGGGAGAACATGCAAACTCCACACAGAAAGATCCTGAGTGTCCTCACTGGGACGCGAACCGGCGACCTTCTTGCTGTGAGGTGACGGTGCTAACCACCGCTCCACCTATTATTCTAAAAGATCTATAATAAATTTTTGAAAGAACCAAAATGCACAGTTGTTTTTTGTGACAAAGACGCATGCTTCAGTCATTTCATATAATGATCTGTGCCTGAATACAGGTGTGAGAGCCAAATACAGTAAAAATGAAAAAGCTAAAAACTTTAAATATTATTTCTGTTAAAAATATAGAAATTTCCTGTGTTAAAAGCTAAGGGTAAAATCTAACATTAAAAATCTAAATACTGATTTAAGATAAAGTTTAGTTGATAAAAACGTTTTTTCACTGGGTAAAGGTAAGATTCTCCCCTTATGTGGACGCCTGTGATGTTGTTTTTTGTTTGAATGAGCTCAAGGTGTGGCAGCACACAGAATTTCTACCTGTGGATAACGTGGACGTGTAATGTTCAGTTTTGATGGAAATAAATGGATTTAAACGGACTACTTTGTCTTGGTCTGCAGTGTTAGAAACCTTGCACTCCTGTGGTTCAGTGCGGCTGTTTATTGTTGTCTGAAACAGCCACTCTCTCCCCTCTACATCATACATTACAACATTTCATACATTCAGTCCTGTTTGTCCGTCCAGCCACACATCTGTTACGTACAGCTGCTCCTGCACTGAGCTGCTGAGCATCTACCAACAGAGTAAACACAGCACCTGCACAGCCCACTGGTCTCTAATGCCCATTTAATTATGGAATATAGATAGAAGCTTATTAAAGCAAACAGGACATGGGGCAATCTGTTCTCTTGTGTTAGTATAAGGGAGCAAAATTAAATCTGCAACCTATAAAATGTGACTCTCAGGTGTCGCTGGGGTCAGATTGGTAATCGTACACATAAATCTGACACCGTAGGCAGCATCAGCACCAGTTTGCAGCATATTTCTGATCACATTATCTTTATTAATTCAAATCCTATGTATGCTCTGTGATGGATAAATGTTATCTGTCTGTTTTCAGAAACAGTAGCGAAAAATCTAAAGTGTCAAAGTGAGGTTTGAATAGAATAGAATACGTACAGACACACAGCAACATATAGTACAGGTAGCTCACAATAGAACAATAAAATAAAATAAAGCAGTAAAACAGTTCTCCACTAGTGGCTGCAGTGTTTCTATTATTTTGTCCTGTTTGCATGAGGAAGTGGTGCCGTGCAGATCAGCATCAGAACAATGTGCAGCCAAAACCCGATCATGAAGGAATCATTCAAGTCCGGACAGCTGGGAAAACAGACAAACAGCATCACGTGACCCCTGCTCCGTTTCCCGCCTGTATTCGTAACGGCTTCTTCAGTCTCCGGAACCAGCGGCGGAGTGGCACCTCTGTCGGCTCAAACTTCCACTCCGGGCTGCATGCAGCAGACACAGCGGTCCGTGTTCACCGAGAAGCAGACACCTTTTAGTGCACTAAGATCGGATGCTGGTGGCCCGATAGCAGCCTGCGGTGATTAATCAGCTCAGATTGTTTGAAGCCTTGAAGGAGCTCGGCGGCGACTTTCCTGTTCGGATCCCGAGTGGCCCAACAAAGTGCGCCGTCGTCGTCTGCTCATCCCCACAAGGAGAAGAAGAAGCTGTGCCGCCGTCTGGAAGAGACAGGTAGCTACTGACAAAGCTGCACACCAGAGCCCTGCTGCAGCCCAGACGCTGCTGCTGCTGTAATCAGTGGGTTTCCGTCTGTTCTGAACAATGCCATTGTTTCCTGCAGCTCATTTAGCCCCAGTGCACGTCAAAATGAAGCCTCCATGATCATCATGTATGTTCTAAATCCAGCCATGATCTGGGACTACATGTGATCAGCAGATAAAAAAAAGAAAAGAAACGACCCCATGTGTGTGTTTATTAGTGAATTAAAATCTGATCCAAGGCAAGTTCTCCTGTGGGTGCTTCAGGGCCTGTTGGCTTCATGTGACACAGAGAAAGGAGGCTGTTGTTGTTGTTGTTGTTGTTGTTGTTTGTGAAGTTCACCTCCAGTTGTGTTCACCTTCAGGCTTCACTGGGCTCAGTCTGGTTCTAGAAGGTCTTAAATCTCGGTTTGAAAGCTGTATATTATGTTGTTGAACAGCACATCCAATATGGAGAACAATCCTCCACCAGAGTCCAGCTCATGGTCTGTTCAGTGGAAAGTGAAACCTCCAGTAGAACCCTGACAGACAGGGATCAGGTCCAGGAGTTGGGTTTTTGAAGTTTCCCTCCGAATCCTAAGCAGCTTTAGAGCATTTCTTTCTTTTTTTTTTGTTTCTCCTTTTTTTTTCTTTGCTTCTGCCACGTTTTTTCTAACAGTCGGCTTACTTTTTTTTTTATTTAAAAAAAAATTTAATTTAATCTAATTTAATTAATTTTTTTCCTTCTGCCAAATTTTCCTTACTGTTGGCTTACTTTAAAAAAATAATTTTTATTTTTTAATCTTTTTTTGCTTCCACCACATCTATTCTGTTGGCTTACATTTAATTTTTTTTTTAATTATTTATTTATTTATTTTGCTTCTGCCACTTTTTTCTTACTGTTGGCTTACTTTTGTTTTTTAAACTGCAATATGAATGAATGAATGAATGCCCCTTCATAGTCATTATACAGTGTACCATGAGATTGGAGAGCTTCTTCTATTTTCAGTGCAAGTAACATCAAAACAAAGTGCAAAATTGCTCAGTAGAATATGAAAGATAAAAACAGGATATTTACATACATTCACAGAACGATTGTATTGCACATAGTGGAGGAGTCTTATTGAGGTAGAGTGGATGTTTTAGATGTAACAGTTCATGATGGCTCTCGGAAAGAAACTGTTTCTCAGTCGATATAAAATCCTGCACCTCTATGGAAACACAGCAGCCATAGCTAGAACTCAAATGTCTTCTGTGCAGTGTGACTCGGTTGTAATGCCATAAATCATAAAGAATGAACAAAGAAAATGAATTTCCTTGATTGTTTATTGTACAA